GTAATAAAAGTTTCTAAATTAAATTTGCTATTAGAAACTGCAAACATAAATGTACGGTTATGATAGAATAAAAAAGTTCTGAACAAACAAACTTTAGGAACAGCCTGTATAGCATTGTTCCCGATGACCGATCCAATTCATAAATTGCCTAACGATTTTACATGACATTGATTTACATTGTACCAAATTTCAACGCTTTACTGTAAATAGTGTTTAAGATATTTGGAAAAATGTGTTAAAATTTCCTAACTTTTATGGCCTAAATTTTTTTTTACATGAATCGTCATCATTTTCACTCTAGTATATATGGTTAAATTTCATCATTTCATCACCCTGTATACCATATCTCAGCCAACGTTCATTCAAAAAAGATGTTGTTAAATAGGTTGACATTTGTTGCATTGACGTATCTTATACAGGGTGGTCAAAAATTGAATTACTGTTTCTCCATATTCAATGGTGAGAAAGTCGAAAATTTTAAATGGAATGCCCCATATTTTTTTAGCTTATCAGAAAGGGTATTTAATTCTCTACAAATTATCTATAAACATTCCCATACCTATTTGTTGTAGTTTGCCTCGTATTGGGAAATTTATTTATTTATTTACTTTCCAAGGAAGTAAAAACGGGACAGACCCAAAGACATTGCTCTACAGAGTTAATACATACAATATACCATATACAAAATTAATCAACATCTACATCGAAGAAAAAGAAATTAAGAAAAAGGAAAAAAAAAAACAACTCAACAGTATGCGAAATAGAGAATTATACATAAAATAAAATAAAATTAAAACCGCTCGTCTGCATTTATGATAATGTAGTTTTTTTAAAGGAAAGTTATGGAATTTTGACAGATTTTGGTCCATGTTCGTATTATTGTTGTCATTCGTTATATTTGGCGATGGGTGCAAGTCATTGAACATCATGGTAGATTATTCCAACCCCAACATTTGAAATTTATTTTGTATTGATGGTGAATGTAATAAACTTTTGGACAGGACGTGTCAAACATTTAATGAGAAATGCCTAACAAACCTAACGCCCATCACAAGGAAATATTTAAAAAAATTGATAAAGATTTTTTTATTTCTGGACATTTCGAAACCAAAAAAAAACGCTATTTCCTGTCACCAGTGTTGAAGACAACGAAATAAATATTTTTCCCGATTTTATTGCATTTCCAAATTCAATTTAATAACAACTTTATATTATAAATTTATATTTTTATCCAAATCTAATCATTAATTTTTTGTTTTGTTTTATTTATTTGATCTTCTGTTTGTTATTTTTGGTAAGGAAAAGCTAGTAAACTAAAAGATTATCAATCGTAGTTAATAGTACAAATAATAGAAATAAATTAAACGAAAAACTGTTAAAATGTCATGGTCTTCTAATAAAAATACAAACGGCTTCCGAATATGAGAGAAACTACAACAAATAAGTAGGAATGTTTATAGATAAATTGTAGAGAATTAAATTCCCTTTCGGGTAAGCTAATAAATATTGAATATGGAGAAACGGTAATTTAATTTTTGACCATCCTGTATAAGATACTCTGATACAATAAATGACAATCAATTTGACAGCATCTGAAGAATAATCGTGCCAATTTAGAGCTTTTTTGAATGAACGTTGGCTGAGATATAGGATTTTAAAGAGCATGGTGAAATTTGCCAAAAAAAATTAAAATCAAAATAAGGCAAAAACGAAAGACGCGTACCAATAACTTTTATGAAAGTTAACATATTTTTCACATACAATTAAAAGGTGTAATAAAAACCATAACATTTCATTTAAAATAACGAAGTTATGGCCTATTTCCGGTAGACCGGAAGTGGCAACCATCTTGAAAATATTTTAGATCGAAAGTTCTGAATGAACAACCCATGCTACCAAAATTTCAAAACTGTACGAATAGTGGAACCTAAAACAGTTCTAACGAACCAATTACGTGAGACACCCTGTATAGTGTATGAAGTGCACTATACAGGGTATAAAGAAATTTTTAGAAAATAATGTTTGAAGGGATGTTGTCAAACTTAGGTTATGTTGAAATTGTTAAAAAATTACAAATTTCATTAAATCGCTGTGAGCATATTTTTGAGAGTGAGAAAACGATTTATGCATGAAATTTAATCTTAAAGCTTTTATTTTAATATGGTCAAATACTTTCTAGGTCTAGTGTTAGTTCTAGTGATAGACTAGCAGTATCACTAGACCGAGAACTAGAAACATTCGGGTTTAGCCACATGTCTCTCAAGACGGCTAAACCAGAATGATTCTAGTTCTAGATCTTGTGTTAGTTCTAGTAATAGTGCTAGTGTAAAATTAGAACTAACACTAGACCTAGACTAGAAAGTTTCGGGTTTAGCCGTGCGTCTTCAAACGCACGGCTAAACATGATATTTTCTAGTTCTAGGTCTAGTGTTAGTTCTAGTTTTAGTTTAGTAAAAATATACAGCATTGTAATATCTTATACTAACTAGCGCTACCTACCACTACTACTAGAACTAACACAAGACCTAGAACTAGAATCATTCGGGTTTAGCCGTCTTGAGAGACGTGCGGCTAAACCCGAATGTTTCTGGTTCTAGGTCTTGTGTTAGTTCTAGTGATAGTGCTAGTGTAAAACTAGAACTAACACTATATCATTTCAAGTTCAAATTGGCACTAATCAAACTCAAAATAGCATTAAACAAAACGAATTTGGCGACTGTCATAATCAAATTGGCATTAATCAAAATCAAAATTAATGATGATATTAATCAATTACAAATTGTCACTGTTAACAAACTATCTACAAAATGCCTTATATTAAAAAAAAGGAAGCAGCAAACGTAAAACGTCAAATTTGTGCCATTTAAGAAAAACTAAGAGAAGAAAAACATAAAATAAAAATTACAGATGAACATCACCGGTTCTTTGAACTTAAAGTTGAAGAAAATCGTAAAATCACACTTAAGCAGCTGCAAGAAACATTACGAAATGAGTTTCAGCTTAATGTAAGCAAGTTTACATTAAAACAAATAGGTTTTGAACCGGAAAGAACCAACACAATCGAAGTGAATACAAAAACATCTGAATACGTAAGAAATTTGCTTGAGCTTTAAAGTGAAAACATGCCCATAATCTATAATAATTTAATTTCTTTATCTCGCGAAGTCAAGGTCGTTCAAAAAAAGGGAAGTCATTGCACTTTCATTGCTGCCAATAGCCGGGGAGGAAATGTTCATCTTATCAGATGTACCAGTTAGCTTGGGATTGATTTATCATGAATTAAGAAGGGGTCATTTAACGAGTTTATTAGGCAATGTTTAAGGAGAGCTCAAAATAGCTAATGTTCAGTGGATATAGTCATTTAATAATACTCCTTGTCATTATGGTGTTGAAGAACAAGAATTTTTTCATCAAAAACTTGTAAAGCTAAGTCTTTATAGTATTTTGGAGGGAAATGATCAAGAAAACTTGTCTCAAACAGAGTACAGAATTAAAATTAAAAAATATAATTAGGAACAATATTCCAAAAATTTATGTAACTAACTGTAACAGGTTTATAGCCGGAATTCAAAAGTATAATATATTACCAAGTATAAAATTATGCGTTTAAGGCCCACTTTTACCACCTCTTGATAAATTTAACCGATAGATAAATTGACGCTCTTAGCCAATGAGAGCGCTTAAAACCGCTGTAACCATGGTAATTATCCATCGGTTAAATTTATCAAGAGGTGGTAAAAGTGGGCCTAAAACGTTAATCAAGAATCAAAGATTGTTTTATTAAATTATTGAGTGCCAATTTGATGTTGATTAATGTCATTTTGATTTTGATTAATGCCAATTTGATTATGACAGTTGCCAAATTGGTTTTGTTTAATGCCATTTTGAATTTGATTAATGGGCGCGTTCACCAACTGTCAACGTTTGCAAACGAAGACCAAACTGTTGGCAACATTTCTGGTGAACGCAACACTAACTTCAAACGTGTTTGATAAACGGCCGCCATTTTATCAATCGTATGATTTTTCCGTTAGCAAACGCAAACGGTGTTTGGTGTTTGTGTCATCTTAAATTTAAAATCAACAAAAAAGAATGGCAGAAGCCTGAAATTAATTATTTAATGGGTTAGTGTATACTATCTTTGAAAATGAAGAAATTCATGATAAATTGAGCGGTATGACCTATAGATTAATTAAAATTGTAAATAATTGTCATTAAAGCGCCATCTGTTGTTATCAAACCATATGTCTATAGAAAAAATGGCCGTTCACCAAATCACCAACGCAATCATAACCCGTTTGCGTTTGCCAACGTAAATGGAATTCTCTGGTGAATGCGCCCAATGCCAATTTGAACTTGAACTTCGTTATATCCAGGTTTTGATGTAATGTCAAATTATATTGACATGTTGCATTTTATGTGGGACAAAGTAAGTACACTGGTAATTAATTATCGTAACCCACGTGACCTGTGTAATATTGGTTGCATATTTCAATATGTAGTGGTAGCTTTGATAATTTTCAATTAGTAACCAGATATTGACTGCCAATCGAATGTTATTGTTGTGATTGTCGTACGCTTTATGAGTTTCCGTATTTTATTTTCTTTGTTCTTTAACAGTGTTTTTTGCTGCCTTTATATTTTTCGAAATTGTTCTTTTTAGAACTATTTCTTTTAGATTTTAAATATTTTAAAATTTTTATATTTAAAACATTTTCTTAATTATTAAAATATATCTAAATATATTTTAAACGACTTTTAAAATTAATGAATTGTCGCCATCGTTTTTAGGAACTTTCGTTGCGTAGCAATACCAATTTGTGATATTGGTTGCATACTTTATCGGGTACGATAATTAATTAACACACTGTAGGTACGGCCTGGTTTTTATTATGTTTAAACAAATAAGTAATTAAATTCGTAACTACAGTCGTATAGAAAATACGATTTTTCATTACTACTCTCTATACAATAAATAATAATAATTTTTAAATACTTACTAAGAGAAAGATTATTTTGTTTTTGGTGATCTACTTGTCCCCTTATAGCCCTAAGTTTTCTTAGTTTAAGTTCTTGAGCATCGACACGATCGCGTAACCTCCTGAGGCGTTCACTTTCAGCTTGAACGCGTTGTTGTCTCGCTTCTTGTTCTTTCAGGTATCTCAGCCTTTGCTCTTTGGCCGCAAGCAGCTGATGCTGCGAGTCTATCTGCGCCTGTTGACGACATGCCATCTCTCGGAGTTCTGTCAGAGTCAACTGTACTCCGTCGGGTAACTGAAAAAGCAAGAATATAAAATTGAAATCGTATGTAAATTGCAAACATGAATACTGAATTAGAGAAACCAAATTTAGCATTGGTGCCGAAAATAAATAATTTAGTACCACTTCGCGTGTACACGGGATCCATACGGAAATGCAACCTTGAACCAAAAGGTTGGGTGTACTGGTTACCGTGCCCTCGATGCAACGAAATAACGTTAGCTAAAGCCTTGGAGGGCTTTATTTGTGGAAACGGCGAATCGATGGCTTATTATCACCGATTTATTCCCGCATGTAAATCATTTCGATTTTTTTTTTTTTACAGTTGAAGCTAAGGTCACCATCGATCCAAGAATGCAATATAGCGGGAGAGTCCGGATTGCCACCCAAGGGGAGTCAATAAGGACGGAAATAAAATTTCGCGTGGATCTCTCGGATTGTAGCTCCAACGAAGTGGCAGTTCCCTATCAGATTTCAGTTCGCCCCTACAAACAGGGAGACTTTGTCTGAAAGGAAATGTCACTTGAAAAGTTTGAACGATTGTTATATCCCTGAACATTCTACACAACTGTTGATTTCATATTTTATTTCTTACATGATTTTATTTAATAAAATTTACGATTAATTATTATTAATAGTATTAGATGAACTCATAAACACATCCATTCATGAATTGGCGAGTTAGCAAGGCGTTACGACATTCCTTCCTCTACTCTACACATACATACACAGTCCAAACACGCACATGTATACTCGTTCAGAACCGTATTTGTTCTGAACACACGCGGTCGACCGATTCCTAGAACCATCGTTATCCTTCTTTCGTCGCCCATTGTACGAGTTGGTTCAGAATCCAAGAAAAGACCAAGAGCCTGGGAAAGACTGCTTCTTTGAATAGTTGCTTTGAGTTTCTTTTTTTTAGACGTAAGGTACGCTTCATTAGCCCCCTTTGGGTAACGTATAACCTTCAAGGAGATAAGGTGCTCATTTCCTTTTGCGATCATGTCATATAATATAATCTAATATAGAGGTTGAAACACGAAATTGAATTTCATAAAAGACCCAAAACTAAATTATGCTTTATCACCTATTTAAAAAAAAAATTAATGAAGTCTTTGATAAGTAAGTAATCATCATCTAGTGGCTTCATCACGAATTACACACGCATCTCGACGTTTTCAACAAACTTTCCGAGTAGAACTTCTAAACTTCCGGTACTGTTAGTTGTAATTGAGGTTGCGAAACGTGAGTGAAAATCCTTTTCATTCTTGTATTCAAAACAAGATAAACATACAGGGTGTTCATTTCAAAACTTTCCACCTCAATTTCTGTAAATCCGGAAGTTTAAAAAGAAAATCGCTGAAATAGGTAAAGAATAAAACCAAGGGGGACATCTTTTTAGTCAAAAATTGACTCACTCACTTCAACCCCACGCCGGCAGAAACCAACCCCTTAAAAATCTTAAATGGAAAGGGATACCTCATTTTAAAGGTCTTTTAAGGTACTACATGTTAGTATTTACTTTTTTTAAATTGATCGATTCATTTTCGAAATTTTTGCGAAAATCTTTGTTTTGTATTTCCCGCTTTAATTAATATTAAAAACTTTAATCACCTTCTTTAAAGCAAGAATAAGTAATCTTTTTTTTTTAAACCTTTATTATTTCGAAGCAATCCGAAATCTTTGATATTTAGGTTATTTTGACAATGATATACCTATAATTTTTTCTATAATACCTGTCAAATTGTTGTAAAGTTGGCAAAATTAACAGGGAGTTTTGTTTTAGCAAGTTTTGAAGTAAATATGTCACATTGACGTTTGAGCTTTCGTTATTCAAAAAGAAAAGGTGCATAAAAAGTGTTGTGGGGTGTTTATTTGCCATTTACTTACCTAGAAAAGGTATTTTATTCTATTTAATTACTTTGTAGCACGTTTTTATAACAAATATGTACTTTGTCAAAATCGTATTTATCTAAAAATTTATTAGTATTTTAACCTCAACTAAGTAGTTACTGACAAAAATCATGAAAACAACATAAATTTTATAAGGGTCCTAGATAATACCAACAGAAACCCTAAATAATTTACATTGACAAGTATTATAGAAAAAAAACGAACTATACGTTGGCTACCTTGCCTGGCGTCTGTCAGAGATATTTAGAAAAAACGATTTCTGTTTCATTTTTCTTTTCTTTTAGGTTTATTTGGTTATTACTTAAACAACTTTTAACTGCTTGAAACGTTCTATTTTATTTGCAGTTATTTAATTATGTACATTGCGTAATTTAATTTAGTTAACTAAAAAAATGGTGTAATTGTAATAATCTTACCTTATCCAATCCACTTTTAAGAGTACCTAAATCGGCGTTAATATTTTCTTTACTTTGTTTCTTTTGGGCACTAACATCTTGGATATTAACATTAACATCTTCTTTTTCAAAGTCTTTTTCCACGCATTTATTCACCAATATATTACACCTCCTTTTCTCGCCGTGTCTTTTAAATTCTCTCGAAGGACTTGGTTCGTTGGTAACCACGACTGGTATACATAATATTCTTCCAGGTGGTTTCGGTATGGCCCCATTGTGATCTAATCTTAAAGGTTGCGAGCCCAAAGGTACAGGTGATCTTCGAAAAATACCTGGATCGGAGGGTTGGCAAACGCAAGCCAACATTTTAGTAAATCTCTCGGCAATTTTATTCAAAATTTCTCGTGATTTCTAAATAAATAAATTTAAAAAATATTTTTATTTTTAATTGCCTTAAAATTCCCATTTATTGGCGATAAAATATTAATTAAATGAAATGATTAAATAATCGTGTTCATTAATATTTAATCGTTGCGTTAAAAGTACAATAATCAATGATTAAAATTAACATTGAACTTGTAATTAAATTAGGTCACGGTGTTTAAATGATCGTTTAAATTTAAACGTTACCGAGGAAATGATTACTCAATACAAGAAGAGGAATTAGATTTTAATTGAACTTTAACAGGTCATCAGTTTAAACCCTTGTACGCCCGGGGATGAAAAGAGATTTCTCCAGGGACCTGATGGAGTCTTCGATTCTGATGTTGCGGCACCTGTTGCGGTATAATGTGTTAATAAAAGAAGTAAATATATCGATTTAGTTGGTTTTCTAAATTTTTAATTGGTATTTCTGATCTTAAAAATTATCCCTCGGTCAAAAACAAAGGGGTCGTTGAGAGAGTTCGTTAAAAATTCAAGAACTTAGTGGAGCTTTTTCGTTCCTTTTTTGTAAAAGGTTGAGATGAAAATTCCGCAGGCTTCGCCGCAACGGGGGCGCTTATAATTTCATTACGACTTCTATCGTCCTGCAAATAACCCAACCTAACAAATGGTCCGTTCTAATTTATTCGTTAATTATTAATTTATACACTGAAATTGCTCGGAAGAGATAAAAACCCTCTAATTGTAGAGGGCTTTTATATAATCTCAACAACGTTATTAAAACAAAGAATTTCTTTTTAATTCTATTTTAAACACCAACAATGAATCAACGAATAATAATTACCAACGATTAGCGTCTAATATTGTGTTTTATAACTATAATAAACGCCAATAGTTAAACAGTGATCAACGATAATGGATTATAATAAACCTAATTTAATGCATAGGTAACGAGAATTATTGCAATAGATGTAAATTATGCAACTAAAGCAAGATGATTTTCGATCGATTTGAAATTGATAAAGTAAACTGCTTCCTCATTATTTTCACGACACAAACCGCCCGTGATGACGACGACAACTTTAATTAACTAAAAACTATTAAACTCCAGGGGAAGGGTCTCTGAAGGGACCCAAAATAATTAGTCCAGCCAATTCTATTTAACCTCTACCTCCCAACATCATCTCAAATCGAGTTTCACATCAGTTTTAGAAATGCTTCTTTAATTATAATTATCAGATGTATTTTTAATATGCTGTGATGAAGCATCTTTTAAACATTTTGTTTCTTTTCTACAACTGACTTTCATACTTTATTTCATTGCTTCTTTTGCATAATATGACAACTTTGATGATTAACATGATTTTAACCTGAAGCTGGTTATCAAATTATAACGTCTTATTCAGTCAAAAGATTTCCAACTTCATAGGATAAAGCCGAGGTCGCTTGCGGCCGAGGCATAGTGATTAATATATTAACCGGAAGTTGGTTATCAAATTGCAGCGTCTGGGCTTAATCAGTTAAAATATCTGCAACTTCATAGGATAAAGCCAAGGTTGCTTGCGGCCGAGGTTCAGTGATTAAAATGATATTAACCAAAAACTGGTTATCACATTGCAGTGCCTCGGCTGGAAGAAACCTCGGTTTAATTATTCAAAATTTGACAACTTCTCCTGATAAAGCCGAGACTGCTTATGTTCGAGGCGCCACAATATGGTGACAAGTTCCAGATTGATATAACATTAAACATTGAACCTCGACAACAAGGTGGGTCTTTCGGGTCTGGCCGTTTTTCATCCTGTTAATGCACTCAAAAATTTTTATAAACAATTCATGATAATGTTCGAAACCTTCAACTTGATAAATCAATCATAAAATTACCGAAAAATTTATTTTTGCATACATATTTTTTTATATGAAATGAAGAAATGATTTGCCTAAACAGTTGTAGGTGGGACAAGAAATACCCAGGTTTACAGAAGAAGGGTTAATATCATATAAAGCAGAAGCTGGATATTACATTGCAGCTGAAAGCAAGCTCGGTTTAATTAGTCAAAAAATTGACAACTTCTCCTGATAAAGCCTAGACTGCTTATGTTCGAGACGCCGCAATTTGGTTACAAGTTCCAGATTGATATAACATTAAACATTGAACCTCGGCAACAAGCAACCTCGGCTTTAGTACGAGAAGTTGTAAATTTGTTGACTAATTAAACCGAGGTCGCTTGCGGTCGAGGCACTGTTATGTGGTAACTAGCTCTACTATCCGTGCCAAAAATCAAGGTTCCTCACTTTTAAGATCGATATCTTCCCAACCGCTCGATAAAAAAAATTGCGGTAATGTTTGTTGTAATCACTGAACATTTCTATGTAACATATGTTAATTTGAAAAATTTCGGATCCGCTGTGTTCTTTTTATCACGAGTTAAATCAAAAAAGTCTCGATTTTACTAAATAAGCTCTGCGGGGAGAGGGGGGTTCCATCCAATCGGAAAAGATGGTGCGTTCCAGACAGTACGTCGCGCCTTTATCTTACGTATATAAAGAAATAAAGGCGCGACGTCCTGTCTCTGGAACACACGCCAGAACCATCTTTTCTCTAATTAACATATCGTCGGCTTAGTTAGAAAACCACGTAACTCCAATTTTTACCAAAAATAAGATTTTGATGTAATTATGCAACAAATTATTAAATCTACCAATTCCGAAAACTTCGCGTATATTGAAATACACATTTCCGCCCAAATGCTTAAAATAAAAAGCACTTACCTAGGACTGTCAATGTAAAAAAATCAGTTCTTTTCTGTCTCCTGTAAAATTTTTCGAAACGGAGTTATGTAGTTTTCTTACTAAGCCAACGATATGTTACATACATACATAACATATGTTATGTAGAAATGTTCAGTGATTACAACAAACTTTGCCGTAATTTTGTTTAACGAGCGGTTGCGAATATACCGATCTCTAAAGTGAGGGGCCTTGACTTTTGGCACCGATAGTAGGTGATATGATATTAATTACTGAGCTTCAGCCGCAAGCAACCTCGGCTTTATCATATGAAGCTGCAGATTGTTTGACTGGTTAAGCCGAGGCTACTTACGGCCGAGTCACTGCAATATGGTAGCCAGCTTCAGGTTGATATGATATAAATCAATGTGCCTCGGCCGCAAGCGACCTCGGCTTTATCATATGAAGTTGCAGATCTCTTGAATGGTGAAGTCGAGGTCGTTTGCAGACGAGGCACTGCAATATGGTAACCAGCTTCAGATTGTTTGACTGGTTTAGCCGAGACAAAGAGGCTACTTACGACCGAGTCACTGCAATATGGTAACCAGTTTCAGGTTGATATGATATTAATCACTGTGCCTTGGCTGCAAGCGACCTCGGCTTTATCATATAAACTTGCAGATCTCTTGAATGGTGAAGCCGAGGTCGTTTGCAGACGAGGCACTGCAATATAGTAACCAGCTTTAGGTTGATGTGATATTAATCACTGTGCCTTGGCCGCAAGCGACCTCGGCTTTATCATATGAAGCTGCAGAATGTTTGACTGGTTAAGCCGAGGCTACTTACGGCCGAGTCACTGCAGTATGGTAANAGTTAAAGGAATAAAGCACCCGATTTTAATAAATAAGTTCTGCGGGGAGAGGGGGTTCCATCCAATCGGAAAAGATGGTGCGTTCCAGACAGTACGTCGCGCCTTTATCTTACGTATATAAAGAAATAAAGGCGCGACGTCCTGTCTCTGGAACACACACCAGAACCGTAATTTGCAAACAAACTTTGCCGTAATTTTATTTAACGAGCGGTTGCGAATATATCGATCTCTAAAGTGAGGGGTCTAGACTTTTAGCACCAGTGACATGATTATTAACTGGATTGTGCGTTCCGCATAGTTCTCGTGTAAAAGAGTGATGCCAATAGGTTAGGCAACCAACAGTGACCATTGTAGGCAAAAGCGGCAAGGTTAATGCTATTGCGGGGCTGATAAATGCGCAAATAAGAAAAATACCATTCAACTATGCAATTTTCTGACCTGCTGTACCTTTATCAGTGACAAAATGACAAAGTACCTGTTTATAAACAAGTTCAAAATTTCGACGAAAATCATTTTTTTTAATAACATTTTAAAACATTTTAATAATGTCATATGAGATATTCACATGAAGCAACTCGCTCATACTTGTCTTATTATGCTATTTTAGTAAGAGCGCTTTCTTATGGCGCGGTCCGGCTTTTGCCTACAATGACAAATGTTGGTTGCATACCCTACTGGCATCACTTTATTCGGCAAACACGCAGTCCAGTTGATAACCATGTCACTGTTTGGCACCGATAGTAGGTGATATGATATTAATCACTGAGCCTCAGCCGCAAGCGACCTCGGCTTTATCATATGAAGCTGCAGATTGTTTGACTGGTTAAGCCGAGACTACTTACGGCCGAGTCACTACAATAAGGTAACCAGCTTCAGGTTGATATGATATTAATCAATGTGCCTCGGCCGCAAGCGACCTCAGCTTTGTCATATGAAGTTGCAGATCTCTTGAATGGTGAAGCCGAGGTCGGTTGCAGACGAGGCACTGCAATATAGTAACCAGCTTCAGGTTGATATGATATTAATCACTGTGCCTCGGCCGCAAGCGACCTCGGCTTTATCATATGAAGTTGCAGATCTCTTGAATGGTGAAATCGAGGTCGTTTGCAGACGAGTCACTGCAATATGGTAACCAGCTTCAGGTTGAAATGATATTAATCACTGTGCCTCGACCGCAAGCGACCTCGGCTTTATCAAGTGAAGCTGCAGATTGTTTGACTGGTTAAGCCGAGACTACTTACGGCCGAGTCACTGCAATATGGTAACCAGCTTCAGGTTGATATGATATTAATCAATGTGCCTCGGCCGCAAGCGACCTCAGCTTTGTCATATGAAGTTGCAGATCTCTTGAATGGTGAAGCCGAGGCCGTTTGCAGACGAGGCACTGCAATATAGTAACCAGCTTCAGGTTGATATGATATTAATCACT